CAGGCGAACACACTACGGTGGTATACAGATGGCTTTAAGGCTCCTGGGGGTATTGGAGCAGGCGTATACGGCCTCAAACGGTGACCTGAATACATACATATGTATCCCGTTTCTGCGACTCTGCCATTACAGCTCCTTCTGGAGTGTGAGGTCGTTTCACGTAGAGCATAGGGTATCTATGGCCAAGAGCGCAGCGCATACCCTTCCTATTTATTTCCAGGATCTATTTTGAAATTTATAGAGTCTCTAGAGTTAGCTGAGTTGTTGTGATAAGCTGAGCGTACAAAACATCTACCGCTCGCAGTGCTTTATCTACATATAAATATATCTATCTAACAGCCCCATCGAAACACCTGAAAATATATGTAGCAAATGAACATAGGTATGGTTTATATGAGTAATATATGTATATGAATCTGCGCCCAATAAAACAAAACAAAAAAAAAAATCAAAATCAACCACAGACTGAAAACACCACCGATCGATATGATGAACGGTATTTAGTGATGTTTTGAAGTGGAAAAAGTGCTCAAAACGGTCCACGAAGAATACACCGACGAAGTAAAATGGAAGAAAAATTAAATATGAAAAATAAGAAGATGTGTATCAATCGCAGCAGGTAGTTCAATAAAAAGCGAGTGAAGTGGCGTTGCACTTGAACGATTCACAGCTCAGCTTGAGCGTGCATGAAGTCGGCCTGGCGGGCGTTGCGTGTAAATATGCAAATTTTCCATATTGGAAATTGTGCAGCCGGCAACTGGCAGCAGCAACCGAGCCGAGTTATGGTGTTGCAAATTGACAGTAAAAGGAATGGGAGAAAGAGCTGTGCAAACAAATAGTAAAAACAAGATTAAGAACAAATTGAAAGATTTTGCAAGCAGCAGTTCTACGAATATTGTGAATACAAGTGGAGTAATTGTGGGTAAAGCTGGGCATTAGTGCATTGAAGTGGAAGATGGAAATTGAAGCGCTGTTAAGTGCATAAAGGGCTTTGTTTTGTGTTGCTATTGAAGCTGATACGGTAAATAATGGAAATGACGATGAATTGTGAGGCTTAAAAGTACTTGTGTTATTGCAATTAAAGTAGACATATGATATGCACTCATTACATGAAGAAATTAAACAATAAAATTTTTAATTCAAATAAAATATGTACATACTTATATTCAGTGAAGTTAGCAATCAGTAAATTAGTATAAAGTATTTAAGAGTCAATATCGGTTAAAGTTATACTACAATGCAGCCGTTTTTATTTAATCGGATTCAGAGTGAGGACTTTTCGAATGCGTTTTCCTGTTGTCTTGATTGCAGGAGTTAATTCGGCCTGTCCTCGTCAACTTCCACATCAACTCGCTTGGCTCCCATATCCAATTTGGGAAAAAGCTGAATAGACGTTGCAGTTGTTGAGACCGATATGCCGATGCCCTTGTCGTACGCCGATTTTTGTAAAAAATAAAAATTTAATAGTGGCAGGATAGGGAGTCGCTTTGAGTGAAACTTCGTTTGGTATCGAGTGGCTCGAAGAGATCCTTCTCAATTCTTGTTATGAAACTTGTTCAATTTTTCTGATTTTTGTACAAATGGACGGTTCACATAATACCAGGAATTCTTTATTTTTTTGAAAAACCATTTCAAAAAATACTGTACTGTAAAAAATGCTTTTATATTTAAATGGAGATACTGTGGAACTGGATTTTTTCGCGGTAATATATAGTTTTTGTCCGAAAAAAGATACAATGCTTATGTATAACTGGTCTATGTTGGATTTTCCAGGTCCAAAGCCGTCGTACGTGACAGCAGCATCGGGTTCATCTTTCCTACTCGTTTCAGTGCAATTAAAATGTTGAAGAAATGTGCCTATCATAATTGTAGTACGATCTGGAATTGGTCGCCGCATTCATTCTCACATGAATTCACCCTCATCTTAACACCATCGGTAAGCCATTTGACTTTCGAATAGCATTTTCGGGAGTATCTCATGTCGGTCAATATCCTAAGCTCTTCGCAATCTCGTAACCTGATCGATCTTTTTATAACGGAAAATACGTGTTGCGATTTTATAAGCACTTTTATATATATCTGCACAAATTGATACATATGTGCATACAAGCACACTTATGAACAGGGAAAGGATTTTTAGTACCTAAACGAACACAGAAATAATCTAGTTGAAACCTCGGTTTATTCGATATTCGGTTTACTCGGTATTCAAAAAATAAAGTTTTCAAAAAACCACCTAAAAATATTAAAAGAAACTATTGAAACCAGTTTTGAAAAACGCAGTCAATCACCCTAGACTTTCTATGGTAAAAAAACATCAAATAGCATATTTTTCTGATATTTTGCGCATTTTCAAATCAGTATAACTTTTTGCATAAGCGAAGACTTACAGAACTGTATTCACTAAAAATGTGGCGTGAAATGTCGCCTTTCAAACGTACGCCAGATTGAAACAATTGGATTAGTGTTGCCAGATGTAAAGACATAATAGTGACGAAAATCCGCAGACTTTTCATATGACCCAAAAAGTACATATGTATATATATATATAGTAGCTTACAGAAAAACTTACCATTCATAGGATGCTGTGCCGGTATACATACATACATACGTACATACATACATACAATCAACCAAAATAACAAAGCAAAACCCGTAACAAGACCACAACTGCTTCAACAATTGATATTTATTAGCGCAGCAAAAACCTAAACAGCCGACTTGTATATGTACATTAGGGTCGCCCTTAAAAAATCAGATGAACCATTTTTTTCAGTCTCACCCACCCCCTCGTTCGGTAATACCACGGTCACAGATATCACATATAGATTTTGGTTCCAATTGGAGACGGTTAAAGCGTGTCGCGCAGGGGGGCAAAGTTCAGATTCCTGTATAGAGGCTCAAAAAAACTAAAATAATTTTGCTTTTTCATCGAAAACCCGAAATCGATACTAACAGAGTCGAAGATATCACACATAAATTTCGGTCCCGATTGCAGTCGGTTAAGACGGTTTCATAGGGTAATCTGAACTTTGACCTCTGTGCGACAAGCCTTAACCGTCTCCAAGCGGGACACAAATTTATATGTGGTATCTTCGACTAAGTAACATCGACGTAGGGGTTGGAGGCTTAGGAAATTTGATGTAAAAATTTGCTTCCTACTTTTAAGGACCACCCTAATGTGCATATGTACATACACATATATATCTGTTGTGTATATGTATATGTATATGTAGTTGGTGCAACATCTGTATAACTGTCAATATTTCATTGATTTTGTGCACCCGATAGATAGCTTAGTAGCCGATCGGACGCAACTCAGCGTAGCACAATGCAACATCTTCATCAGTGGGCAAATAGTAGAACAACTCGTTAAATATGATTATAAGTATGTACATACATATATAAGTAGACGAGCTCGCCGCTCTTGAATAATTGGTGCTGCTCAGCCAAATAAATTGGAATCTGGTTACCAATTTAATGGTGTGGATGCACAAAATGTACATATAAAGGCATATATGTATGTATGTATGTACATATTTGTGTAATGGCCCGCAGTGAATGTCAATACAAAATTTAATTTTTTAGTTTTTTTTTCTTTTGTGTTATTTTATTAAAACTTTATGTGAGCTTAATTTGAAAGTTTCTTCCATTTATATTAGTCGTAAAACTCGCTGTCACTGCACCGTTGGCTAGATGCATCTGCCAAATTTTCTTTAATCCCAAAAAGATCCAAACTTTATATCCCAAAATATTACAAAAGTATTTATCGACTATCGCTGCAATGTTGAGAGTCAATTTCTTTTCTTTCTTTATTGCAAAAGTACCAGAATAGCCATGAATTGAACACAAAAGCATAAAAGCAAGCGTACAAATAAGTTTATTTACATACATATATGCAAGTATGTAAATATGTAAATTTGTATGTATGTATTTACTTCTCCAAGTATTATGCGCGCGCATGAATAAAGAAGTAATGGGAAAATTTAACGCCACTAACACTCCACACCAGGGAAGCCAACTTGTGGGGAATTTCCCGATTTGCGCGGAATTTCAGATTGCGTGGGGAATCCATTGACCGTTTTTTGTGGGGAATTTAAGTTTGCATAGGGAAGCGGGGGATGAAATGTTCTTTGTGAGGAATTAGGTGTAAAAATTTGTTTCTTTTTAGCTTCACTGATTTCATAATGATTTAAAAAAATGTAAGTGGAAATGTCACACACGCCACCGTGGAATGACCTGTATACCGCTTTGTAGCTCGTTCAATTCTAATATAAATGGCTAAAAATAAAAAAAGACCCTTGATTTTTTAGAATTTTCTTTGTGACATTTGCTTTCATATAACGAATAAAAACAATTTATTTTATATGGAAGAAAACCGCAACATCTTCGGCAAAATAATTCTAAAACGAAAATGTTTAGACACTTGAAACTTGCACTCCTTTATTCTTAAATTTTTATTTTAGATATTGCACAAAGTCTGAAACTTGAAACGGTTTTTGTTAAAGAGTGAACAGTATTTTTATAAAAAAAATAACTCAAACTAAATAACAAAAAAATAATAATTGTATAAACTTGTCAAAATTTGGTGCGACTAAATTTTTTTTCGACCACTGTATATATGTAAATATAAGTGTAAATTTTTTATTTTTATTTGTTAACAAACTTTATAAAAGTTTGGTAAGGTCTATGAATACATAGATGAATTACATTTAAAATAATAAAATAAACATAAATACCAGCAATACATCGAAACACATAAAAACAAAATGAGTGGCTACCCTGCTCCACACTCCAATGTTCTCCCACCGGCGCGCTCCCAGCAAGAGCTCCAAAGCCTATACTTAACAGCGAAATAACAGTGGGTATGCTAAGTTTAACATTGCCTTTGTTGAAGGTGGTATATGTATGTATGTATGTGTATTGTGCCTCACACATACATATCGGTAAGCTTGCTCCTATGCAACAACTTTTGGTAGCTCTACGGCATTCGTTTGCGGTAAAAATCAGTCTTCGAATGGTGCTCACCGGGTTCTGTACAGCTCAGAAAAAGTCGTTCTTGAAAGTGCAAAAGCGTTTTTATGGTGCTTTTTGGTGCGTGCAGATTTTATGTGCATACATATTGTAGTAGAAACAAAAACAAATCGAGTGTACCGTTAGATACATAAATACACACACACATATACATACATACATGAATGAGCATATGCATATCTTTGAATAAATATCAAAGTGCTAAAAATAAAGAAGAATCTTATTGATAAAGTGCTAAAAGAAAGTTCTCTCGGCAAGTAGACACACAGCGCTTTAACAAAAGCAAGTTTAGCAAGAAGTTGAATTATTTATTAAACAGATTTTTCCCATCAATTTCATGCCGTTGTATAAGATTTGTAATATTTGATTTACTGCAAGCATTACTAAACTAGGTAAAGCAAAGTAAAAGTGTGTAAAAGCATTTAGAAAAGAAAGAAATTATTTGCAATAAAGTGGCATTAATTTAGTTTTAATAGCTCACTCACTGAAATTTTTCAAAAGTTGCGACTTCCTGTAAACCACTTCGCACTACAATTGGCTGAGTTTTTGCTAAAAGTACGCCAACAACCACCGCAGCCACTTCGACTGGCAACAACAAGAACGGCGACAGCGACAGCAGCAGCAGCAACACGCAACACCTTACCTTCTGTAATTACAACAGAGCAAGTGGCAGTTGCATCGACAAAGAAATAATAAAACCAAATCAACGCCGCAAATACTTTTGCAGCAAGCGACATTTCAGGCAAATGTAATTATCACTTTTATAATGTACTATTTTTTATTCATACGATTATCATTTTTTATATGTACATATGTATATCGCAACTTTTACAATTCCAAAGCGTACTCGTAGGTGTAACAATGAGGCCTTTTCGAACTGAAGTAAATTAAGCCGTTGGCTTGCAGCGTGTGAAGTTAACCATGAAGATATGCTAATACGAACATAAATTAAATATTTTGGGGGAAATCATATTGCCCTAAAGCGGAAACAAGATAGGTAGATACATATTGTAAATATGGGGTGTTCTTTTTTAAATCGGATGGGGAAAAAATAGTTTCACATTTCCCAAAAAAATTAACATATATATGTACACACATACATATGAATTTTATTTGAAAAAAGTTATTCAAATTTCGGACATCTGTAAAAAAAATATATTTTCTCGCGGCTTCGACCAAGCGCCCAGTTATTAAATGCGTTTACTCAACGCCTGATTAACAGTGCGCTTAACCGATGGTTTGTAGCTTGAATTGACTGCTCCATTTCTGCCAAGCACTTATTAGCTGATGTTGGGTCAACAAACCTTTTTACAATGAAAAATGAAATTGGGTGCAGATTTCGCATGATAATTTCACGTAATTTTAGTATGAAAATTCGTAATTTTTTTAACTTTATGTTTGTTTTTGGTTATTGGTCATTGAATTATAAATTATGATAATTTTTATTTATAAAGCTTGAGGCCCAGTAAATACATGAAACTCCAGCTTTAGTTTTATTCATTTTTAATGTCGATATTTCGACTTCAATCTCAGGAACTCTTAATTGTAGCCCGGTCGACCGAGCTTAATAAAAAAAATTATAATAAATAAAAATTTTATATAACTTATATAGCGCGCCGACAAAATTATGAAAAGTCCTGTACTGCTTAATATTATCTGAAATGTTTATTCTAAATATTCCTAAATATTTCTTTCTAGAGCACATTTACTTAATATGTACAATATTGGCCAATACAATCGCACCTCCATTTCAAAGTGATATTGTTTGCCACTCATGTTTATTTGTTTATTTTTAGGAATTATCAATTGAAATACAGTTCATTCTCTAACAAAACCCATATAAACTCAAGTTTAAAACTTTGTAGAAAAGTACAAAGAAATTCAACAATTTTTAGCACAAATTTTACACTTTTTTCTCAGAAGTGTTAGAAATTTTTTGAGTACACAGTTTTATAGCCCATTTAAATTTAGTCTTATAATGTGCAAGTTATAAGTGACTAAAAAACACCGTTGATTTTTTAGAATTTTTTTTTGTCGAATGTGTTCCGGGTTACTTCCATTTAAAAATAAATTGTGTTTATTCATTATTTGGAAGCAAATGCAACAAAAAAATCTAATAAATCAACTGTAATTTCAGCCACTTGAAAATTGTATATTTTCAGACTATAATTGAATGGGCTATAAACTGTGTATTAAAAAAAAATTCTAACAGTTCTGAAGAAAAGGTCTGAAATTTGTGTGAAAATTTTTGGCAATTTTTCGTAGTATTTAAAAAAAAATGTTAATTTTTGGTTTATATGAATTTTGTTAGAAAATGAACTTTATTTTAATAGAAAATTATTAAAAATAAATAACTAAACATAATGCAAACAATATGTATGTTTGTAAGACGATAAAGTCATCATTTTTATTTTTCATTAATCAAAAATGACACCCATATCAAAATATTTCATTTACCTTGGCAATTAATTTATTCGTAGACCTGTCGCTGATTTGTTTCCCATATAAAATATTTGTGGATTAAATTGATTTGGAACTCCCAAACAGGTGGCAACCCTGTAGAAAATCGTTTAGGAACTATAGCGTTCTTAAAGCTCTCGTTTTATACTCAGATACAGAGATTTCATGTAACCTTTTAATTAAATAGATTTCCAAATTTTGACCAGATGGCAACCCTCTTTAAAGTTGTTTCGAAATTAATCGTTTTTGAATCCTTCTCGTTTGAAACTCACAACGTTGCTATATTTTATTTAGCCGAATAATTAATTAATTTGAACTTTTGAAAAAGGTGGCAACTCTCTTCAGAAATATCCTATACGTTAATAACATATCTATGTGACAAATTTCATTGTAATACGTCCAGCCAGATTAGTGTGAAAGAGCTTTCACATTTATAATATTAGTAGGATTTTAAATAGAATTCAAATGGTATGAATACTAAAAATAGTAACAAGGTTATCTATGCTAACTAATACTCCAAAATAATCTTGGACTACTCGTCCAACGACACACAGCATTTATTAAATAACAACCTTATTCAAATTTTAAACATCCAAAATCGCGAGAAAATCTTAAAGTCGTGAGGCTTCATAAAAAACTGTTTTAACAGTAAGATGCTCTCCAATATTTAATTACTATTTTATGCAGCGCTGTAGGCGAGCGAGTTCCTTGAAGAACTGACCGAAGTGCAATGGCAATGTACCTACCGCCCGCAGCCATTTGGCAGTTTTACTTTTAATTGCACAGCTGTTGGATGCGACCGCTACTACAAAAGGAGTCGCCCAGCTTGGCGAACAGCTCAGAATACAGCGGAGGTTTTGGAGGCCCCACACCAGCCGGTTCTAACTGGTTGATTGGCACGAGAAAGTCACGACTCTTTTATTTCAAATAACCACTTCTGTTTGTTTTTGTATTTTTTTTTTTTTTATTGTTGCTTTGGCTTTAACTGTCTGTTTCCTCT